CACCGCGCGCGGCCCAGCATGCTCCGCGCCTGGCCCTGCCCGCGCGCGGCCCCGCCCCCTCGGTCGCCGCCATTTTAAGTAGTCCGGAAGGGCTCGTCCCACACGAATTATAACCGCCATCTCGGTGTACGGTTAGCGGGGCGTGAGCCAAATTGGCGCCGTTTGGAGAGTGGCGAAGGCAGCGTCCCCATACTGATGCGGTCGGGGAGTACCCGGGTGCAAGCAGGCACAGCTCTCTTTGGAGGAATATGAAGATCCATTCCAAGCGTAGAGAATGCCGCATCCCAGGAAAAGTGAATGAACGATGTGTGCCTTGAGCATGGGGGAAACGACGCATGCATATATCTGAGACCTAGGCTGCCATATCAAGGGGCACAGCTCGTCCTTGCAGGGCTTCCTTAGCGGCCATTTTGGGAAAGTTGTTCACTTTTGGACCTTACAGCCACCGTACCTCACCCCCGGTTTGGGCTTAAGGTTGTTGAGTCAAGTTCTGGGAAGTTTAGTGCCCCTTAAGGACCCCGGCGGACTATTAGGTTTAGGGAGTGGGGCTGGGTGGAGTTCCTGGGATAGAAAGGACATGGTCAGGTTTGGGATGGTGTCCTCTTGGCCCAGCAGTTTTGAGTATCACCAGCCTTCCTACCTCCTTACGCACGCTATATGTGAGGCTCATCCACTTAATATCCTTGCCTGGCTGCTCCTTCCACCGACAGCCCATTGAACACTGCCTTGCATCGTCTCTGTTAGCAGTTACACTAGCGCAGGGGTCTCTGTCCCTGAGAGGAGACAGCCCCCGTGAGCATGCCGAGAGCTGTCCAGTGGGTGGCCCTGGATACTCTACAGCTCTGCAGTTGTTGGGGCTGCAGTTTCAGGGTTGTCGAGAGTGGGCAGTGTGAAAGTCTGAGCTGGTAATGACTAATCAGAGACCACTGTAGGGATAGAGAATGGGCAGATTCTTGGGTCCTTAGTCTGTTTATTAGAAGGGCGATTTGTGGTGTTTTTTTTTTTTTTGTTTTTGTTTTTAAGGCAGGCAGGAATTTAAAAGTTTTTGCTAGGAGCTGGGGATTTAGCTCAGCGGCAAAGAGCCTGCCTGGCAAGCACAAGGTCGTGAGTTCGATTCCTGGTACCAGAAGAAAAACAAAAAAACCCAAACAAACAAAAAAAGAAAAAAAAAAAGTTTTTTCTAAAAACTGTGATATTTCACTTGGGCCTGCAGATACCTGATAGATAACTGAAACCAAAATAAAGCCTGGCCGTATTGTATCCCTTGTTACCATGAAACTTTGGGTCAGATCCCGTCTCAACTGTGCATATAGTTGCCGAGGGAGCCAATAAAGGTTGGCAAAAGAAGGTTGATGAACTAAATTTATATGATCTCATCATTTCAAAATTAAGGGCACAGCTGGGCGTGGTGGTGCACGCCTGTAATCCCAGCACTGGGAGGCTGAGGCAGGAGGATCACTGCGAGTTCAAGGCCAGTTTGGACTACAAAGTGCGTTCAAGGCCAGCCTGAACTGAGAAGTGAAACCCTGTCTCAAAAAGACCGAGAAAAGAAAACAGTTAAGGACACAAGGATAAGAGGTTTACAGAGACGTTTAGCTGGTCCCAGAATCTCCATTGTCCTAAACCTGTGACCACCAGGGTTCGAGAATGAAACACAGCCTCAAATGACTGAGATTGCCCTAAACAGAAACAATCATTTTATGGGCACAAATAGCCCCTCAAACCATGAAGTTCTCTCCAGAGCTGCTAAACCAGGGTTCACATAATGACCAACCAAACCCCGAACCACTTACCCTAGAAATTGGCCTCCCGCTCTTGTGGGTGAGCCACTTTGATCCCTGCCATCAGCTGGTATGCTCCTCCAGCTGGTATGCTCCTCTCTGGAAGGCTTTATTTGAAACAAAACAAAGCAAACAAAAACAGAAAAGAATTTTGAAGGGACCGAGGAGCTTCTCCAGCAAGCAGGTCTCTAACTCTGAGTTCCTGCCTAGTGGCACTGGCTAGTGTCAAATTGGAGTCCTTTTCTGCTTTTTCTTAGTGTCTTTTGGTAAAGGTCAGCCTGAATTTTGTGAGCTCTTCAAACTAAAATCGCTTGCATTTTCTTTCCAATTAAAGAATTTTTTTTTCCTGTGAATTTATTCTTTAGTTTTTAGTTTATTTTACTGGGTGTTCGTTTGTTTGAGGCAGGAACTCACTGTGTAGCCCAGGGTGGCCTTGAACTGACAGCAGTCCTCCTGTCTCAGCCTCCCACGTAGTGGGATTATAGGCACCACCATTCCTAGGCATGCTTCAGTTTTAATTTCCATTATCACTGAAAGCAAAAAGGTATGCTAGCCAGTGCCACGAGGCAGGAACTCAGAGTTAGAGACCTGCTTGCTGGAGAAGCTCCTCTGTCCCTGCAAATTTTTTTTGCTTTTGTTTGCTTTGTTTTTTTTTTTTTTTTTTGGTTTTTCTCCGGTACCGGGAACCGAACTCACGACCTTGCACTTGCCAGGCAGGCGCTTTGCTGCTGAGCTAAATCCCCAGCCCCCTTTTGTTTGCTTTGTTTTGTTTCAGATAAAGCCTTCCAGAGAGGAGCATCACCAGGAACAGATTTAATTTAGTCCAAATCACCCATTCTTCTGGGTGCCTAGGATGAACTTTGTTTACTATAGTACAGAATTCGCCTCATCACCATTTTTTTAAATTTAATTTAATTTTATTTTATTTACTTTGAGAGAGGGTCTCATGTATAGTTCAGGCTGGCCTTGAGTTCTCTGTGTAGCCCTGGCTGGCCTCAAACTTGCTGGGATTTTCCTGCTTCAGCCTTCGGAGCACTGGGATTATACACATGCACTACCACTCCTAGCTTAACATCATATTTAAAAACAGTGGTGGAGCAGGGCTTGGTGGTAGACACCTGTATTGTAGTCCCAGCACTTATGAGGCTGAGGCAGGAGGATCGCCAAGAGTTCACTGCCAGCTGAGACTATATAGTTCAAGGCCAGCCTGAACTACACAGCAAAATCTTATTTGAAAAATAAAAAAAAAATGCCAGGCATGATGGCTCACACCTATAATCTCAGGACTCAGAAGGCTGAGGCAGGAGGATCATTGCGAGTTCGAGGCCAGCCTGGGCTACAAAATGAGTTCAAGACCAGCCTGAACTGTATAGTGAGACCCTGTCTCAAACACACACACACACACACACACACACACACACACCCTTCAAAAATAAAAAAAATTAAAAGCTGGGCATGATGGTTCATGCCTATAATCCTAGCAGCAGGGAGGCAGAGACAGGGTTGCTGCGAGTTTAAAGCCAGCCTGAACTACAGAGTGAGAACCTGTTTCAAAAAAAACTCCCCCCAAAAAAACAAAAATAAAAAAAACTGGGCATAGTGGCTCATGTCTGTAATCTCAGCACTGGGGAGGCTGAGGCAGGAGGATCATTGCAAATTTGAGGCCAGCCTGGGCTACATAGTGAGTTTAAGGCCAACCTGAACTATACCTCTTGTCTAAAAAAAAGAGGAGGGGAAATGCATGAAGAAAGATGATTTTTGAACTGTGTGTAGGCAGGAAGGTGCCCGTTTCTGCATGCACTAAGTCTTATACAAAGAGAAGTTGAGCTTGCAGATGCAGATTAGATAGCTAGAAGCAGATTTTTTTTTTTTTTTTTTTTTTTTTTTTGTCTTTTTTTGAGACAGGGTCTCAGTATGCAGTTCAGGCTGGCCTTGAGCTCACTTGGCTGCCCAGGCTGGTCTTGAACTCGCAGTGATCCTCCTGCCTCAGCCTCCCGAGTGCTGGGATTACAGGTGTGTGTTACCACTCCCAGCCTTACCTTTGTCCAGTTTTAAAGAACAGTCATGGAGACAAACAGTGCAGCAAAAATGAAATGTTAATTTGTCTTACAAGGCCTGGTGTCCACCAGATCGCAGCACACCTGGATGGGTTACAAAAGCTTTTTATTTCTACAGTGCAGGTCCCTTCCCTAGTTTCTCATTCACTGAGTTCCTGGACTTGCTTAAGTCCCCTTTGTTTTCTTTCTTGTTCTCCCCTCCTCCCTTTCCTCCTTAGGTTAGGGTTAGGGACTTTTCAGGTGCACGGACCTTGTGATTTGTCATGTCCACAGACCGTTAGGCAAGCTTAGTAAATTTTCTTTTTTTTTTTTTTTTTGTCTTTTTGAGATGGAGTTTCACTATGTACTTCAGGCTGGTTTCAACTCACTTTGAAGCCTAGGCTGGCCTTGAACTCGAAGTGATCCTCCTGCCTCAGCCTCCTGAGTGCTGGGATTACAGGCATTTGCCACCACACTTGACCCAAGCTTATAATTTTTACTCAGAGCTAGCTACTTTGCCTTAAAAAGGGGCAACATTAAATTAAGTTCCATTTCTTTCCAGGTGTGGTGGTGCACACCTGCGATCCCAGCACTGGGGAGGCTAAGGCAGGAGGATCACTGCAAGATCAAGGCTAGCCTGGGCTACAAAGTGAGTTCAAGGCCAGCTTGAACTACATAGTTAAATTCTGTCTCAAAAAAGACAAAAAAAATTTAAAGTTTCCAGTTCTCATAAATTCCCTCCTTGCAACCGGGCATGGTGACATATGCCTGTAATCCCAACACTCGGGAGGCTGAAGCACGAGGATCACTGTGAGTTCAAGGCCAGCCTGGGCTGTAAAGTAAGCTCAAGGCCAGCCTGGGCTGTAAAGTAAGCTCAAGGCCAGCCTGAACTGCATAGCAAGAACTTGTCTCAAAATGAAAAAAAAAGTCCCTCATGTGTGTGTAACTCTTCTGGCCCCATTT